ATACTATGTGGATACCATTTATTCATTTGAAACATCCATGCTGAATTGGAGAATATCCTGAATATTATCACATGCATAAAAACAACATTTTGTTCCTCAAAGAAATAATTTAGTTTCACTTGAAATGTTGTTAATCTTCACGTCATTGCAAGTTGATTGTACTTGGACCAGAGAGTTAAAAGATGCAAGATGTTACTGTTTAACAAAATCAGGTAATTATTTAGTCAGTGATATGCCAATTCTGAGAGATTTACTGGATATTCTGCAAGATTATTCATTGCTAGCAGGATGAATCTAATGATATACATACCCCCCCCCCCCCCCCCCACACACACAAAAAAGATTATTTTTAGGGTCATATGTATGTGTGCGCGTGTGTTTTAAATAACAGTGTCACATTTTGCATTATCATAATGAGGAATTTCTTTAATTGTCATCAAAATAACTTTTTTCATATGTTAAACGAATGCAAAACGAATTCATATTTTTCTTTTGAATTTGTGGGGAAATATGATCCGGACATGTTCAGAATGTGATTGTACACAACCTAACCAAAAATAACATTATGTGCTTAATTAGACAATCAGCTAGAAGTCACCACATGTTCATTTCTGTAGTGAAGAGCAACACGGTTATAATCGTATTTTTGGGTGCCAGTTACACATTTATGTGCCATTTAAAGGCATATCAGTGTACCACTATGAACAGTGCTTATACATTCCCTTTTTTAACAAAACTGAATGTAATATACTTGTATGTGATGTGAGATACAAGCAGCTTTCCCATAGAAACATCCTTCCAGATGTTTACAGTGTGTTCAGTGCTGTTTCAGTGCTGCTACCACCTTAATGTTAACGACTGAGAGAATGACACAGTGTAACGTTGACTGAAATGCACCAGTCAAATCATTCAGCTTTATTGTGTCCCAATAAACAAATAAACTGATTGTGTCTTTCTGGAAACTTGTTTTAGTCAAAAAAAAAATATTTCCATGCATTTTTATAATGTAACATTTTATAGGGAATCTATGTATCATATGTACAGTGGTCCTGTACACTTACAATAAGACAATATGAATGAATGTCATTTCACTATATAACATAAACTAAGTAGCATTTATGTTTAAGAAAGCTAGAACAGGACCACTTTCCAAGCAAAATATTTATTTAGTCATTTAGCAGACGCTAAGTTACACAGTACATGTAGCAAGGTATATACTGTATATATATATATACACACACACACACATACTAGTTATTAAATATTTAATAACTGAAAATTTAGATTACTGATGATAAAACATGATGTTTCTAGTGGTTAAATGTATATGGATCATGTTCATAGTTAATGTAATGAACCGCATCAGTGACAACTGACTTCATACATGCACTAAAAATCACTTTGACACCTATTGGTGAATAGCTCAGAAATGTTGAGCTAGCTCTGAGAAAGCACCCAAAAACCCTAATCTGGTGATTGTAAGAAACAGATCCATCATTAAGACACTTTTAACTTAAAACCATTGCTTTGGGCTAAAATATGAGATAATAATCCATAATGCTTTCTCCACTGAAAAAGTCCATCTCCTGTTGTCTCTCACATGAAAAATCCACCCACACTCTTTGTTGAACTGCTTTTTTGAACTGTTTTGGCTTGTGAACAGTGCTTGATCTGTGCAGATTTCTCTTCTGATTCAGACAATGTTTTCACTGGAGAAAGCATCATTGATTGATCTCATATTTTAGCCAGAAGCAATAGTTTTAAGTCAAAAGTGTCTTAATGATGGATTTGTTTCTTAAAACATGCAGCTTTTGGCTTCACAAGACACGGTCTGGAGTGCTGTGGATTATTGTGATGTTTTTATCAGCTGTTTGGACTCTCATTCTGACGGCACCCATTCACTTGCAGAGGATCCACTGGTGAGCAAGTGATGTAGTGCTAAATTTCTCCAAATCTGTTCCTATCAAGAAACATAAGAAATCATCTACATGTTGGATGGCATGAGGATGAGTACTTTTTCAACACATTTTTATTTCTGAGTGAACTATTCCTTTAAGCGCAGACATCCGCTTAGCTATTTTGTTCTAATGGAATGACATTCAGAAGTGTGAAATAGCTTTAGACCTTTACAGTAGTAGTAAAGAATGTTACAACACTGACATCTGCTGGCTCATCGCAAAGACATTATTTTATATTCCTTTGGTATTTCTTATAAACCCTTGTTTCATATTCCTTGTTTGGATCTGATGTGGTAATTGTTGTGTTCAATCTGTTCAGTCCAAGTGTGTTACACTTAAAATAGCCCTAAATGTAGATCCAGAATATATTCTCATATTAAATATCAGATTTTATTGTGATTATTAAATCCTCATCATACCATGTATTGTGCTTTCAGCCTGGACTTGGATTTAATCTGCTTTGGACTGTGTACTTTACAAAATGCACGTAAAGGTAAATAAAAAGCCATTTTAGGTCGAGTGTATCTGTGCACTCGTGTTGTTGCTGGACATGAATGGTGTTGTAACAGTGTGTTTGTTTTGTCTGTGATAACAGCGTGTTTTGAAGATCTCACTGACCTGTGGACACTAGATGCTAGAACGGCTGTTGTCACATCTGCACTGAAGCCTGTTGCCCATTTCCAGCAACTGCACTATCCATGTTTCCATTTAAAGCACTTTTACTGAATGTCCATCTCTAGTAGCACTGCAGGTGCTGATATTCAGACCAAAGGCATGATTGTGAATGGGATGTTCTTCAATAAACAATTAGTTAATAGACCATGTTTTCCCCTCTGAAATGTAAGCTACTGTTGTTAATAAATAGTTCCATAAGTTGTCAGAGCATCAAGTGTTACATATGTCACTAGCAGCGCACAGCTCTGGAACAGCATGCTTTGAGTGACCATGGAGTGAGAGAAAACAGACAGTTTTCACACACACATACTAGTCAAGTCAAGTCAAGTCTGCTTTATTGTCAATTCTTCCACATGTACAGCACATACACACAGAGAATTGAAATTGTGTTACTCTCAGACCCTTGGTGCATACAGATAACAAATACAGATTAAATACAAAATACAACTATACAAAATACAACTATACAAATATATAAATAAGGTAAAATGTAAAAATATATATATAAAGCACAAGGCATATGGCAGATAGAGTGCAAACCAGTCTGAGTGCTGAGTGGAGGGTAGTGGCGATGGCGTCATCGGTCGAACGGTTGGACCGATATGCAAACTGGAAGGGGTCCAAGGAGGGGGGGGGGAGGGCAGACTTGATGTGGTGCATGACTAGCTGTTCAAAGCACTTCATGAGGATGGGGGTAAGTGCAATTGGACGGTAGTCATTGAAGCAGGATGGAGACGACTTCTTCGGGACTGGAATGATGGTGGTAGCTTTGAAGCATGTGGGGACAACAGCCTGACTTAGCGAGATGTTGAAAATGTCTGTGAAGACATCGGTGAGTTCCACTGCACAGTCTCTCAGTACACGCCCAGGAATGTTGTCAGGACCCGGAGCTTTGCGTGCGTTGATCCTGCTGAGGGATCTCCTCACGCTGTCCGGGGACAGCGTCATCACCTGGTCGCCGGGAGGAGGTGGAGTCTTCTGTGCAGTGGTGCTGTGATGGCACCACGGCAAGTGAAACCAGAGTGATACAAAGTGTGAGAAATCCCAGTGATGTTATACTGTATATCAAAACTCTTGGAACGCAGCATGAGCAATGCAATCTAAAGACAAGAACTGTTGTATAGGTCATTTAAAGTAATATTGTGGAAAATGTTTTTTTTAAATTCTTTATAAAAAATGTATAATACATAAATCCATGTATTTTATACTTAAACTTTATTATAGTATAGTATAGTACTGAGGAACAACAAATAAGCTCAATCATTTAAAAATGAATATTAAATAAATATATTTTGGTGTATATAAAAGGTATATTTATTGTATATTTAAGGTATGTGCTAGGTTATTCCTGAGATGGTCAGTGAATTAGATAACATATTATGCACACTATAAAGTTTCACATTACAGCATGTACTTTATGTTGTATGTATGTATGATTGTATGTATTTATAAATATATATTGTGGGTTGGCTGACAATCTAGATGGAAGTGCCTGGATCTAAAAATCCTCCTGACCTTGTGGAAATGTCTCTTTATAGAAACTTTATAGAGTTACTTTTTCCTGCAGAAGCTGAATAAGTTCCGCGTGTATAGAGGCGCATGTTGACATCTGTCTCCGTCTGACGCACTCAATTCACTTCATTTATCTGCCTTGTGTACAGCAGCGGTGGGCGTTACCAGCATGCAACTGATTACTAGACAAACCACCAATATAGCACTGCGCATATATGCTCCTGTGCAACTGTTATTAGCTCATAAGACCGCGCCTCTTGAGTGATTCTCCTGGAAAGACACATTCTGTCATTGGAGATTACAAACCTGGAATGATGGACATAATGAACGAGGAGCAGACGGAGAACGGACTGGACTCCGATGATGATCTTCGATCCGAGGAGATACCCGAGTACCTGAAAGACAGGAGAAGAGCCAAGTCCTTACCTGCGTATTCAGAGCAGGTGAATCTGTACCACCAGATCTCCCAGAACTGCAGGAAACGCGTGAAGTTCGCGGACGCGCTCGGCTTGAATCTGGCGAGCGTCAAGCACTTCAGCACCAGCGACGATCCTCAGATTCCAGCCAAAGTCTTCACCAGGCTGAAGAGCTTCCCTCTCCACAAGGACCGGGAGCTCATAGATGACTTGTGCGTGAACATCAAGTCCTCTCTGGCTCTGGACTATCTGGTCCCGGCGGAATACTGGTTTTGTCATTTACCATTTAAAAGATGAATGTATAATATTTATCATGTTGGGCAAATGCATAACATCTTATGTGAATATGAATATTTAAGCTACTAAAAGGTAGCAAAACTGATTAAGGAAAAAATACTGAAATATTTACAAATTATTTTATTCTTTTTTTATGTTGCTTTAATATCACAATACAATAAATGTCCAAATAAAATAGTCTTATTTTAATTCTCTTTAACACTGTATTGATTATCACCTTTTACTAGGCCACCGCTGGCTGAAAACGAACAGAATAAGCTATTTTTAACCGCCCGGCCTTGTGACCCTTTGTGAAACCAACCCTTAGGAACAGATCAATGAAATCGGTCATTTACAGATAACCCACACAAAGAAATGGAAATGACATGAATTTATTGTAACATTAACCACCAAAGCATGAAAAATACTACAGTATGTACAATTATATATCAGTTCATGAACACAGAATCTTAAACGACCGTGTAAACAGGAGTGGATGTGGGATCGACCCATCATGACCGGCCTGATGCAGATGCTTGAAGAGGAAACATGACGACAGACAGAAGACCCGCAACAGTCCTGTACAGCCAGAGAACACCTGAGCGCCGCTCCCACACCACATCAGGCGCTCTTCTCTTCCTCCTGTTCAACAACCGTCTTCTGGATCTCATACATCTTCCCTACGCACACCTGCGGACAAAGGACAGAGATCATGTCAAATTACTAGAGTTGCCAAAGTAAAAAGATTACATATGTTTAACACTTTAATATTTACAGTATTACTATTATCATGAAATTATTGAATTCAGAGTTTGTTGACAAACTCCAAGGCAATTACATTTCTGATAATTGCGCAGCTATACTGTAGTTCCACATTTGTGTGATTTCCTTGGACTGGTCAAGAATAATAAATGAATGTCCCATACTTAGTCTCATGACTGGTTTCTTATTTGTCAGTAAATGTTGGAGAGAGAACTTTTCAATGGCTAATTCCTTTATAAATTAAAAATGAGGCTTTTATCAAAAGAAAAGGAATTTGAAGGTTTTATATGGCAAAATGTAATTATCAAAGCTCAATATTAACAACAAACAAACTGCACCACTGACAATACCAGAAGACCAATAATATCTTTGCTCATTTGACATAATTTGGTTTTCATAAAATTATTTATTTTATATTTATACATGATGATACACATTTTAAATTTTATTGTGCTCTAAAGAAATAAAAAAATATAAAAATGTAACTAAATATAATAATTTACACCGCCTGAGAAATCACACTCTTATAAATAAAATAGGGCATTGTAAGACATTATACTGCAGTATTTCCTCTCTCAATCAGTAGAAAATATGGTTAACACCCGGTCATGCATGAAAAAAACCCCCCACCATGTACCGTGAAACCAGTATAATTAAGATAAATACCGTGATATACATGTTTGGTCATACTGACCAGCACTAGCAGATATGCATGTAAGATCAGAGCAATTGTGTTAGAAAAGTGCACTAAAGTCCAAAGAATATGTTGTAATCTCTATTTGTTTTCAGCTGACGAGAAAGAGGCCAGCAGCAGGCTAAATCAATACTGAACAGAGAGTCAGGCCAGAGATACGGCCTTCATGATGAACGAGGACAAACCGTGTCTGAAAACTGAGTGTTCGAAACATCCATCACCATCAACACTGCAGGAAAGTACAAACTGTATGAAACTGCTGAGAATGAAACGTGAGCTAAACACGGCTGGAGCACGTAACTCAGAAAGGCCAGAGACAGTGTTTGATCAGTATCTGATAAAGAGCTGCGGTTGAAAACGTCTGGTCTAATGTTGGTTATGAATATGTAAAAAGTGATGGTCAAACAATGAGAGTTTTTCATTTGCTAATACTGGTACCAGTCATCTAGAGAGCAGAAGATGAAGTGTGTCGTCAGAGATTTAGATTGAGGCAAAAACAGGCAAGAAGAAGATTCTGTAGTCTATCTCAAGCAGTGGTCGAGGCTGATATAATGCCAAGATAAACAAGAATCAACTAGAACAACAACAAGAGAAGTGCCAAAATTGCTGAAATGAAACTCCTAAAAATTCACAGAATAAATATAGGATGCAAAAGGGAACTGCTATTGTGAATCAGTTTCTGCTTTCAGCTGATTGTTGATGACAAATGTTAAATACTAGCACAGAACTTAGTAATGGGGTCCAAAATGTGAAAGAAAAGCAACATTTGAAAGAAAGAAAGAAAGAACCAAAATGTATTTTTATGAGTAATCAACAAAATATTTTTAACACAAATACAAAATTAATAATAATAATAATAATTATTATTATTATTAATAGTAATAGTAGTAGCAGCAAGTAGAAAAAAATACATGTTAAAAGAAAGTAAATATTTTCCAGATGATTAAAAAAAACAAACATTTATTTTAGTGCCAATTATAAAAGCCAATTATTTAATTTTGGAAACAAGTACTTAAGGCCTGTGACGGTTAACATGTTTATATACGACATTGATTAAATATGTTTAACATAATATTTTTAACACATTTACAAAATAATAATAATAATAATTATTATTATTATACCCATGGATTTTCTTGGGTAATTGTGTTTGTGGGTTGTCCAGATTCATTTTTAAATAACTTACTTCAGTCTTAATGACAATATAAAAACCAATGATTTAATTTTGGAAACAACATTTTGTCTTTATTATATGATATTTAATATTTTTCCCTCACACTGCAAAAATATATATACACTCATAAATACATGAAACTAAATTGTTGCCTTTAGGATCCATCACAAGTAGGTCATCATATTTTGGGCTCTTGACATAAAAAAATCTTAAAAATCTTGCCTTTATATTGATCGGTCACAAGTAAGGACATTTCTCTTGTTGGATCTCATGTATGTATCCTCAGGTCTGTCTAAAATGGACCGGCCCAGAATAAGAGAAGTGGCTGTGCAGTAGCTATGATTTCTCAGCAGAAGCATAATCTTTCTCGAATTATCCTCGTGTTAAATTTGTTGACACAGTACAAAATGAGTCCAGCTTTGACCGCTGCAGTCCATCCCGTCCACAGCAGCCTCATCTGCTTCAGAAGCACCACAGGCCTCTTCCGCCGCGACTGATGCTCCGGCTAAACGCAACATGCGGCTGCTCTATTAAAGACGTCTCAAAAAGAGTCAGGAAAGTCATCGGTTATGAAGACACACCAGAACATGTGACAAATTGCCGGGTCGGTGCAGAGAAGAAGCCAGAGTGGAGGAAAAGATGCAAGGTTGGCGAAGGAGGTGCACATGTTCATTTTTCATAGTGATGGCTCAGCAAAGAGGAACATTAAGATCCATTTCGGAGCACAGGCACCCTCGGTAAATATTCCCTTATTTTCTTACTTGCAGTCATTACATTTTATTAAATATATGAGCCGTCAGTCACCCTATTTTCTAGATATATCAGTATAAATGTCATTAGCCACTGATAAAAGTGAACAAAAATAAAATAATAAAAAACTACATCTTTTTTTGAAAACAAAAATTGTATTTTTTTTATTTTATTTATTCATTATATTCAATATATTTAATAATAATAATAATTTATATAGTAATACTAATAACCTGCATTATTATTATTACTACTACTACTATTTGCAGTCATTCAATTTGATTAAATATATCAGCATTATATTGGTCATCAGCCACCCTGCTTTCTAGATATATCAATATCAGTGGCATCAGCCATTATTATTATTATTACTATTACAATCATTAAAATACAAAGTAACATAATAATAATACATGGTGCAATTTATCCAGTTGGCAGCATTTTGGAAGGTCAAGGTTGAAATTACTTGAATTTTGATCGTCACGTTGCAACAACTGATCTGCGTGCATCATTTTGCCGTAACACTGATGTGAGAGGACTACAAGAGGAGTGCATGCGAATCAATGCACATGCGTAAATCTAGTTCGGACTCTTCAAGTCTATCCTAGATGACGGCTTTGGCTTCCTGAAACTCGCACACACTCTTAAAGGCTCCTTAGAGGAAGCCAGCATCTATGTGCTCCCTGTAGGTTTGGCGGCAGATGTTTTCACAGAATTTCAAAGACAGCAGAACAGCTGCCTGTTTGTCAAAGATGGGGGATTCTGGGAGATTACAGCTGGCTGTCCTATACGTTTGAGAACCAAACCTAAATATGGCCAGATGGCGCAAATGTACGCATAGCCTCATGATGGATGCTGCATTACTACACTTGAGCCACAGGTGAGTGTTTTCATGGCATTAAGGACAGAAAATTCCAAAGCAAGCATTTCAACATTCATGAATGGATTATTCCTCAGAAAACAGTGGCCTTCACTAAAGTCCACACACACCCTTACAGAGAGCAAACAGCAGCCAAAGAGGGCACTTTTGAGTGGCCAAATAAATCATAAGATGACAAATAAGAAAGTCTAGTACAGGGCTATTGAACTGATCAGCAGAGTTCAGCTCCAATGCTAATCAAACACACTTAAACAAGCTAATCAATGTCTGCAGGAGTACGTCAGCATTACAGACCGCTGTGTTGTCTTAGGGTTGGATTCCTGAGCGTAGAGAGTGAAGGCTAAACTTTCAGTTCAAAGGACACTGCAAATAGCATTAGGAAAAAGTGTACAGCAGTATATCACTTCACAGTAGGTGGAGAAGGAATAATCAGAGAACTACAGGAATTTTTGACTGAAATACATTAGAATAATGAAAAGGCGGCCAACATTTTTATTCCATTTAATTCATCTTATTTTTTAGTTTCTAAGGAGTTGTTCATGCATAAGATGCTATGGCTACAATGTATTTATCATCTAATATATACAATTAAATTGCATATTAAGCATAGGGACATTAATTACAAAATTTTGAGCTTTCAAATATCAAAAATATTACATTTAGAATAATATAATAAAAAAATACATTTTATACACATACATAAATTATAATATAATATATAGGCCACAAGATATCAAATACTGCATTTGGGAAACAGTCAGGAAGGTTAAGAAGTTTTTGGCTTGGCCCTCAATTAACTACAGCGATTAATGAGACGATCAACATTTACAAGCTTAGCAGACCTTAGGGCAATCACTTTGGCATAGTGCCCTTTGAAATTGGGAAGAAATTGATATTTTGGTTGTAAATGAGTGAAAAGTGTGGGTGTGCACGGCCTAAGGCTCTTCCTTAAGGATTCACTAGGGGGCAGCAATGTCTAAAACTACACTCCACACACTAGCACATGCACACAAAGGACCCTGCTCTACTCACAGTGGGCGTGTCCTCCTGCTCCTCCACTAGAGATGGGGGCGGAGCTGTGAGGGCGGGAGGAAAAACGGACATGACAACTCTCTCGGCCAATCAGGGCACAGCAGGCACTGCCTCATGTTAATTGATGCGGCTGCAGCAGGCACCCCATTGTTGGGATGTCACACTGCAGATTCCCAGTCTCACACACACACACACACACACACACACACTACAGGTGTCATACGGCTCTTTTTTTTCTTCTGTGGATCAACTGCAGACACTGCAGAAAAACTGTGGTAGCCATACACTGGAAATGACAATGAAACACATACACACACTATTCCTTAAAGGGGTGGTTCACTGTTTTTTTTTTTCTAGGCTTGATTGTGTTCATGGGGTGCAGTCTAACATGTGTCAAT